TATAGAAATTTTTAATATTAAAAAATAAATAAAATAATTTTTTTGTATATATATAAATTTTGTTCAAGGCACATTGACCCACCTGTACAAAAATTGTGGCGCGGCATGGACAAAAATTTTACAATTTGGGACCGAAAAATATGAAAACGAGCTAAGTTGCCACGTTACATCTGTGAACTTCCGATAAAACCACATATGTTTTTTCTGTTACTTTTCCATATTGCGCACTTTTAGGCCCCGCGGCTGTTAATTTAGACAATTTTAGCGATGGAAATTTAGCATAGCGATTGTTAGAATTCCACTGCAGGATTGTGTTGTGTAGGTCAATACCTAAATATCTTCGCTGGCTCATTTACCAGAACCATTGCGCGCTTTACTTTACAACCCCTTGGCAGAATCAATAGGTCTCCACGAATATCGACAAAGACATTTCGGCATTTAAGGGAATTTCGTCTCTTTAGCCTGCATTGGATTTGTGTAATCCACCCATTTCGTCTTGTTGTCGCCAGCGAATGAAGAGCAAACATTTCTTCAAATTTAAAAAGTAAAAGTTTCACTACTAAAAATTTAAAAATGTTCTTAAAACCTGCAAAGAAATTTGGAAAAGAAATATCACTGTTTTTGTTTTTGGGAGTAGGGTGGGAGTGTCATTGATAAAATTAGAGCGAGAGAAAGTTTTTCTTACAAAACCTTTCATTATTGAATCATGTTGCGTGTAAACATATGTACCCAGTAGAAATGGGTTGTATGCATTCTTGAAGCATGTTTCCTATATGAGTGAATTAGTGTGAAAAATTCATGCGTAGTCATGAATTTCCACGAATGAATTCAGATTCTAGCGAATTGCAACCGAATGTACGTTGTCGTTGTTTTAAGTACATTTCTTGATAAATTGGAAGTGGAATTTTTGTAATATTTTAAGTGTTGTACAAAAATTTTAGTGAACGGACGTGTTGTGCGATACAATTTTCAGTATAAACGGGCTTTTACAAGATATGCATTTGCATATGTAAGTGCTACTTGTTTGTATGTCCCCGTATATTAAAATGTATCAGAAAAGTAGCATTTTAATACTGTTCCATTAATGCATTTTTGTATGTATGAAACATTAATACAGCCATATGCATACAGCAGTAGTACAAGTGTATGATTAAGGTACGCATACGCTCTGAGAAACTTACTTACTAGTTACTTACTAGTTTTTTTGTGTACCAAAACGTGTACCAAAATGCAAAAAATGTACCAAAATAGGTTTAAGCCATAGATTTAATTATTCAAATATTTTAAAAATACACATTGCTCATACATATATGTAGCTGTCGTACTCCTGCCCCGTCGAAAACACCAATAACGAAAATGAGTTACCTTTTAGAAAGTATTACCTTGTAGGGCTACTGGAAGGATACTTTCGGTAACATTTTGACTGTGAGTTTAACGAGGGATCCACACAGATTGGTTTTAAAACTATCAAGAACCCTTGAAGGTCCGGCTTCTTATGCTTATCAAGTAGCTGAGATACAAATCGCTTCAGCAAGCCTCATTGTCTATTAGTATAGTATGTGATGATGACAGTGCTTCCGTAGGGCATGTGCGCATGGCTCCTATAATGGCTACGCAGACAGATCGCTGCTTAACTTTTAGTCTCCTGTACTTAGTAATCGGTTTTGTCACTGTATTAAATGCCCAAAACGTCAATGCCTCTGAGAGCCTAGTTCCTAACAGCTATGAGATAAGACTTTCAGTTGACCACTGTCAGACTCCCTGCAATCTAGAGGCAATGTTGTCTTCATTGTATCCCACCACGAAGATGAGTAGCTTACGTAAAATCCTTTGCTTATCCAGGATCGCATGTCTGTCGTCTCTTTGTTCTGCCATTATAGTTCTGGATTCAACATGCTTATGTTCCATGCAGTTATAACATTAGGAATATCTGTCATGGCCATGAACCCGTAAAGAGCTATTTGCTTACACAGCAATGCCTTTTCAATTACCTGAGTTAGACAACGTGTTGCCGTATAAGCTAGGGCTGCCAGATATCTCTGTTGCCAAACCGAGACACTTTAGGGAGGGCCTCTCGCTCCCTTCTCTTTCATTTCGACGTGCGAAACGATGTGAAATTTTATTTTGACAGACAAAAACAAAAACATAAAAACATGAGATCATGAGACCATTACAACGTACGCCAACAAAACAAAGCAACTTATCACAACTAAAGCACTGAGAATTGTTCACAATACATGAACCTTTTTTTATTCTTTATAAAAATACAGTTTAACTAAATATATGAAAAAACATAAAAATAAAATTGTTGAACTTTGTGTTAAACTCGGGAAAATTCAATAAATTTGCATACAAATTTGCAGCCCATTAATTTTTAGTTGATTTTTGGTAGTGTTTTTACTGAGAGTTTCTTCCGTACAAACTATGTTCGATAACTTTTTTATATGGAAGACACTGTCAGCAAAAAAAAATGCTAAAAATCAACGAAATTTGCTGGCAACTTCAGTGCAAACTTTATTAATTGGCTCAAAAGCAGGGTTCGGATTTGCCTCATTTTAGACCCTCGCTCGCTCGTTAGTTTGCTCCGAGCTTGCGCAACTCACGAGAAACAGGCGAGGCTGTTTGCAAACGAGCACTCGTTTAGTACGAGCGCACGCGGTGAGCAGCCAGCGAGCGAGTAAGCAAACGAGGGCAGCGCAAGAGTAGAGCGGCACGCAAACGAGCACCTCATTAGCTCTGCCCTCGCGAGGGCGTCGTTGCGAGCGAGGCACTCATTTGCAGCAGCAGACGAGCATGGCGAGTAAACGAGCGAGGCAAATGAGGCGAGTAAACGAGCGAGCCAAATGAGGCAAGCAGATTAGACAGGTAAACGGGTTGTTTGGTCAGCAAAAATGTATGGGATAAAAATTGCATCAACTAAGAATTTCGAGTAAAGGATTGTATGCACGCATGCAGATATGTATATACATACATACATGTATACACATATGTATATATATATCTATATATATAAAAAGAAGTTACATTTCCTTGGTAATCTTATAACTCAAGAACCGCCGAACCGATTGATACAAAAATTTTAAAGTTCTTTTCTATCTTTGAGGAGGTGGTTTGTGTGAAGTTTGATTGAAATCGGTGCAGCCGTTCCTGAGTTATGACATTTTATGTGAGTAATGGTTTCCTCTCATACGAAATGCCTGTATGGGAAAAACAACAACAAATACACAGCCGCTTATGAGCGTTTCTGTTGTACTGTTGTGGTTGTAAGTGTATTATGTTAATATTAACTTGCTGTCGTTGGAATTCAGTTGACAGTTCTCTTATGTGCTTTGAGTTCTTTTATATCGTGCTCTCATTGCGAACAGCCATACTTTTGGTGAGTGTTAACCCTGTGTTTGTTTTAACCACGTACACACATTGAACTTTGAATTAAATTTATAATTTATTCTTGAAATAATTTTCAATGTTTTGCTTTTACATTCAATTAGTAATATACTGTACTGAAAGAATGCCACGTGCAAGACGAGCAAACATTGGCAGACGTTCACGTCAATCAAATGCTACAGCGTTAAATCGAAGATCACAAAGTGAAGAAGATCGTGTTCGACGAAATGAAGTGGAAACACAACGACACAGACGGAGAAATCAGTCGGTTAATAGTGAAGCACCAAGAAACCGTCGTGGGCGTATTTCCATTTATGATATACGTCAAATGGAACGCGCGGCCTTCAATTACGATGCCACCATTGATTACAGCATGCATGCCTACATTGGCCAAATGAATATAGAATGTATACATTGCAAAGCAATTAAATTCAGAAACGAAACGCCTGGTATGTGCTGTGCTGGTGGGAAAGTCAAATTGCCGGTGCTAGAACTTCCGCCAGAACCTTTGCATTCATTGGTTTTTGGCAATTCACCAACGTCGAAGCATTTCCTCTTAAACATTAAAAAATACAATTCATGCTTTCAAATGACATCTTTTGGAGCTACAAATATTATAAGAGATGGATTTATGCCGACGTTTAAGGTTATTACTTCGTTGGGAATAAACAATATCATATTTAATTTATGTGCCGTCCCTGTGTCAAGTCTTGCAACAAACATCGATTATTTTATGGGACGAATGTCCAATGGCCCATAAAAAATCTTTGGAAGCCTTAAGTCCAACATTGCAAGATTTGAGACAGAGTCAACAGCTGTTTGGCGGTGCATTAATATTGTTATCTGGTGATTTTCGTCAAACGTTGCCTGTTATTCCGAGATCAACACCAGCTGATGAAATTAATGCATGTTTGAAAAGTTCATTTTTGTGGGCACACGTACAAAGGCTTTCGTTGACGACCAATATGCGTGTGCGTCTTCAAAATGATTCATCAGCACGTGAGTTTTCAAAGCAATTGCTGAAGATTGGCGATGGAAAAATTGCAAGTGATCAAAATGGGTTTATCATGTTACCGAATAATTTTTGCATAATTGTATCATCAAAACAAGAACTCATTGATCGCGTTTTCCCAAATATTGTTCAAAACTACAATAACCATGATTGGTTACGAGAACGTGCAATTTTAGCACCAAAAAATATCAATGTCAATGAAATTAATTTCCACACCCAGGAAAAATTGCCAGGTGATTCGGTAACGTATAAATCCATTGATACTGCTATGAATGATGAAGACGCAGTCAATTATCCGGTCGAATTTTTAAATTCTTTGGAACCACCAGGCATGGCACCGCATAATTTGAATTTGAAAGTTGGTTCATCGATTATACTTCTCCGAAATCTTAATGCACCGAAACTTTGTAATGGGACGAGACTTTCAGTGAAGAAATTGATGCCAAATTTAATTCAAGCAACAATTCTCACTGGCAAAGCAAAAGGTGAAATTGTACCAATACCGCGCATCCCATTAATACCAACGGACATCCTGTTCGGCTATCTTTTGCTATGACCGTAAACAAAGCCCAAGGGCAAACGCTCCAGGTGTGTGGAGTTACATGTTCGAGAGTTGGAGCGCCAAAAAATTTGTTTATTTATGCACCACAAAATAAAACAAAAAATGTTGTGTATACAATTGTATTAAATTAAACGTTGCTTTTCTTTTTCCGAAATAAAAATAAAAATTATTTCATTTTATTTTGTACGTTATTGTGTTCACAAATCAAATCTTTTTAGCAATCAATTTTTTATCGAATTGCAAGTCATTTTGGACGAAAATATAATAAAAAATTGAATGCTACAGGAGGAACTGGAAAAACATTTTTAACTTTATTTATTTTAGCATAATTTATTTAGCGTAAAAAATTGAAATGGAAATTAAAGAATCAAAGTTTAATTACAAGTTTTTATCGGCTCTTTCACCTTACCTGTATATAGGTGACCACCACAATCAAATTTTAAAAAAGTACAGAAAAGGCTATTGTGACATCTTTAGAAAGTATGCTGAATGAAAAAAATCAACTAATTCAACTGTTTAAACATTTTACGAGTTCTATAAAGAAAACTTAATATGAAAAATTTCTTGCGATATAAAAAAAAAACATTTTATGTATGGTGGTGCGAAGCCCACTGGGTAATGCTAGTTTATGTATATATTCTCATGCACAGAATAGATGCGTGCTATTTTGACCAGTTTTATCTACTAGATAGGCACATACATATGTGCATACATATCTATGTATGTAGGTATAATTTTTTTAATGTTCAATAATTTCTTATAAAATTTCAACTTACACACTAACGTCTCTTTTTATGCGGTTATTTGTTATGCGGATTTGAATTTATGCGGTTTTTCAAACCCTTTCTTCGCTGTAGCGATTTTGCTTCTTTGAGAGCTTTTATTACTTTTTTTCAATGTGTAAGGGGCAATGCTTCTGATAAATAATTTGTCTTTGTATTCTTACATTCAAGTAATTACTAAGTAATTCCGCTAAGTAACTATGTTACATATGTATAAATGAGAATATAATATTTATAAAAATCATTATTTTGTCTTTCATTTCTTAAATGAGTAGGACATTAGCATTTTCAAATGAATATTCCAGGTTTAGTCCCCATACATATATATGTATGTAGTATAATACAAACTACTATTTGGGGTGTTAAACAGTATTTGATAATTAAGGCTGGTCCACATAGAACTTTCGCGTTGACTTTGTAGTTGGCGTTGGTTTGACAGAACGCACGTTAAAAGTATGCGTTCTACAATGAAGCTTGGCAGAGACTACTTTGGCCACTAAATTAACATATTAACGAGAGATAAATTAATATTTCATATCAATAATTGCATGAAAAATTATATTTCTTGCCCTCATTTAATTAAAAGGAAAAAAACATGTCATATAATTTTATTTATTTGCAACAGCTGTCGACCGACGCAGCGATCTTTCTGCTTTGTGTATATGTTTGTCGGCTCTTAGCGTTGGCAAATTTTGGCTATGTGGACGGTTGCTTTGAAATTCAACGCCAACGCAACGGCAAAGTTGTATGTGAACCAGCCTCTATTCTTTGTTTACGCAAATTTCCCATGTCTCCATATCCATACATATGTACATTATACTGCATCTCCAAAAAAAGTTGCGGTTTTTCCGCCGGGATTACAAAATTTATTATATTTTAAGACGTCCATCAAATATATTTCGGAAAAATATTAAGATTTATGCGAGCTGGACCGATTTGAAAATACCTCCAAATATGAAGCTTTTTATGAATAACTTTTACTTTTTTCAAAGATTGGTTTACGAAAAACTTGAATAACTGGGCCAAAAATATTCTGATTTAGTCTTATGGGATCTCAGTAGAAAGGTATTTTCGCACTATGTTTATTTCTGGCCAAAAAAAAACGTCATTCGTGTCCCATCTTGTTTTTTCGAATACCAACACATCTTAATTCCACTTTGAATGACGTTCTTTCATCCTACCTTTCTCTTCCATCGTCTGAATGAGTTTATTAGCAAAGAAATAAAAAGGGTGTGAAAATACCTCTCCAATGGTATCTCACAAGTCTAAATCGGGAGACGTTAGGCTCAGTTATTCAAGTTTTTCTTATACCAATCTTTTGAAAAAAGTTAAAAACAGCTTCAAAAATTATCACGATTCCGTTCAAATTTTTTTTAAATTTTTTAAAAATATTTTTACGCAGTTTTTTTAAGCTTAAACCGTTTTGTAATTTGAGGGGATTTTTTCAAAAAAAATCTTGAAGAAACTATTTTTATTCATAAAAAATACCATTTTTGGAGGTATTTTCAAATCGGTCCAGCTCACTTAAATCTTAATATTTTTCCCAAATATTTTGGTGGACGTCTTAAAATATAATAGATTTTATAATTCCTATGGAAAAATACTACCGTTTTTTTGGTATGGGGAGTGATGCAGTCTAATGTACATATATATATACATATGTCCTTCAACAACAGGCCACAAATAATTTTTTTCACCAAGCATTATATTTCATTCATCAGGTATACAGCATAACTGCTACAAGTAGCAAACTATTTTGGGGGTGTTACAAGTGCTTACTTGTTTTTTGTTTCTGCGGCACAAACGATTATAATATCGAGCCCTAACCGCCAAAATAACGTATGCGACATTTTTTTCAAAATTTTCTTTTTGATGCAGAAATATTCCTAGAGCATCTAGATGCATTTCTGCATCAAAAAGGAAATTTTGAAAAAAATGTCGCTTAAGTTATTTTGGCGGTTAGGGCTCGATATCTTCGTTACTTACTTTTCTCTGTAAAGACAAAATACATGCATATGTATATACATACATACATACATATATAACTATGCATGTTATGTATGTATGTACGTATGTAAATATATGTATATAACTATAAAGAAATATTTCATTCCATAATCTATGCTTATGTATGTAATAAATTTTATTTGTTGTTTTAAATGCTGCCCTAATATAATATTCACATATATATGTGCATATGCACATATGTACATACAATTACTAACATACTTTCGTACATAATCTATTGACATACATTCCCACATTTTTATGCACAAAAACGCGTGTCTCGCACCGCGAGCGAGGCAACACACAACAGCCTCGCTCGTTTAATAGGAGCGCGAGAAACAAGCAAGCTCGTTTGCCGAGCAAGCCAAACTTCTCGTGCCTCGCCTCATTGCTGCTACGAGTACGAGCTGCGAGCGCCTCGTTGCCTGCGAGGCATTGAGTAGGAGTTTGCTCACTCGCTCGCTCGAACTCCGAGTTTTTGCCTACCCTGCTCATCATGCCCGAACTGTTATATGGCGCAGAAGCTTAGACAATGACAACATTCGATAAGGCGGCTCTTAGAGTATTCGAGAGAAAGATCTCGCGGAAGATTCACAGGCCTCTACGCGGTGGCGACGGGGAGTACCGTATACGATGGAACGATAAGTTGTATGAACTTTACAACGAAATGTACGTACATAGGCAGCAAATGAAAATACAGCGGCTCCGCTGGTTTGGCCATGTCGTTCGAAATGGAACCGACGTTCCAGGTCTGAAAGTATGCAACTCGCAATCCGCTGGTGGTAGCAGAGGAAGACAGAGGCCCCAATGCAATGGAGAGACCAAGTGGAGAAGGACTTGGCTTCACGTGGCATTTCCAATTGGCGTCAATTGGCACAGAAAGAAACATCTGGCGTGATTTGTCGAACCCGGCCAAAATCTCGTATGCGGTTACAGCGCCAAATGAGAAGATGAAAATGATAAATTACAAAGTTGGGGACCTTCTCCTTATCATTGAGCTTCCATTGAACATATAAATCATCGAAACTCCCACGTGCAATATTTGCAGAACATCCGGTATGGAAAAATTATAAAAAAAAATTTACACATTGTTTGGGATGAGTGCACATGACATAAAAAATCGCTTGAGGTTCTTGATCGATTGTTGCGAGATTTGCGTGGAAACGTTCAATCATTCGGGAATGCATTGATATTGCACACAGGAGATTTTCCGCAGACATCGTCTATAATTTCCCGATTAACACTAGCGGACGAGATAAATGCTTGCCTGAAATAGTCAACACTGTGGCAAGACGAACATACATACACTGCAGCCGAGGTATTCTCGCGACAATTGCTGGACATTGGGAACGGAAAGCTGCTAGTCAATGAGAGATTATGACGAATTGTATTGCCTGTAACTTAGAAACATCGAAAGGAGAACTGATCGAAAGAATGTTTCTTTATTAAGAAAATTAATTATAGGAATCATGATTGGCTCAGTGAACGGGCTATTCTGGCTGCGAAGAAACTAAGGATGTCTATCAACTAAATAATAGTGGTATTGACAAAAGTCGTT